AGTTTTTATTTGACCACCAGCTTCCTCCAGTGCATGTCTGATACGAGAGTCTACCTGAATTATGACCCGATAACCGCACTGGTTTTACTACACTTTTCCAAGATAATCGACTATTTGACGTTGTTCCACGTTCGCAATTCCTTAGTCAATTAACAAGATAATCCGTTAAATCAGCAGGGGGATTATCAATGATTACTCTTTCGATTCTTACAGGATCATGAGTAAAGGATACCTAAGTTTCATTTTCTTCAAGAAAACTTCATCCTTAGATAATAACTTTAACTGGTCTCGTTTCTCAATATCAACACTTAATTAATACAATTCTGACCAACGGAAATATTTATTATCAAATCGCTCTGTTTGATTAAACAGAATCTCCTTTAAGATTTTTAAACAATCATCGATTGGTACTTCAGGTTCTAGTGAAGTTAATAGCATCATCGGGTACAGCTTTAAATTGCTTAAATTTAACAAGACTCGGAAATTTGTCGTTCTTGCATATTTAATAAAACTTCGAACTTCTTTCTGAGGGTCAGTAATTTTCTGATTCACAGTTGATGAAGCATTTAGCTCATTTATTACCCTCATCAATATCGATGCATTTCCAATTCTCATATTGAATCAAGAAACTCTCGATTAAAACTTTGGCATTGTCATCAACTAAGAGATAAATTCTCTGGACGATTATTAAAGTTCTTTAAGAGGGTTACCATCTCCGTAAAATCACTATCACCAAGAATATCTGTCAAAATTATGAAAAGATCTGGGCCTGATGATCTTGTATATAACGATCAATCATCATATACACGAATCAATATCCTTTAAAGGTTGATGAGTGACCATAAGATTGTTCACCATCAGCAAGACATTGAGTTTTCTCTTTTTTCGGTGGCATCACTTTCACAAAAGTAGTTAAACAGTCAACATGAACAATGATAATGAATGTCCAGTTTGTTTGGAGAATGTTAAAGTTTTCCTACCCAGTGTAACATATATTGTGTAATAAGTGCTCAAGCAAATACTTTTAAATAATAAGAAGTGCCTCTATGTGGAGGATTATTATTACGCCTTTGTTAAATATGAAATCTTCCAACCCACCTATTATAATCACCATAGACTAATAATCAATTAGCTCAAATGAATATCAAGTTAATTAATGTGAGGAATTCCTTTAAAAATCAAAGTTTCTTTATTAACAATTTTAAAAGGAAACAAGATTATCTACTAATCATGACTGAATCTAATTGCGACCAAAATTGAGAAAATATGTGTCATCACAATTTACTCACCTGCTACTTCCTCAGATTATCGTGTTGTTAAATGCTTCAGGAAATTCAACAATATTATGACAATGTTAATTAAAATCAAAACTCGCAGTTCATCTGGATGATTTACATATAAGAGTCCCCAACCTAATGGTTTAACTGATGACCTGTGTAATACATTACATTCATTGAAAGGACAACCGATAATAATTGCTGGAGACATTAATTTGAAGTGAAATTTGGGTGGATAATCCAAGACTAATCAAAGATAACGGATGAAAGTTTGAAACGCTAATTAAAACGTTAAAACATTACAACTTCAAAACTACTTTACCGAAGAATAGAACAAGAAGGTTACACAAGGGAGAACAATTAACAATTCAATCATTGATATTATTCTTATTAACTTCGATTCAGAAACAAATTTTGTCATTAGAAATACTAACTATAGTGATCACAGAGTTATCAATCTCCACATCTACAGACCGAGAACAATTAAGTTGAATCTTTCCAATATTAAAATCAGAATCAAGAAAATTAACTTCACTACCATAAATGAAACAGTTAGAATCCTTATCCAACCCATTATTAACAGATATCAAGCCAGTCAGCCAATGATAACTAAAAATGTTGAAATTAGAGAAATGAATTTGAATCAAATTTGGAAACAATTATCTAAACTTGATGAAGAAGATGTTTCAAATATAATTAAAGGAAAATTATTGAGGCGAGCGATTTTCCTGTCTTAACTGAAAGGAATGAAATTTGTTATCGAACAGGAATTAGTGAAAAGAAAAGAAGATGTTGGCAAAGTTAATTGCTCGTCAGGCTCAGCTGATTCTTTCTCCTCAAGACAATGGGAGAAAATTTTATCAAGCTCAATATAAGTTATTATTGAATTAGTTGATCAGATTTTTAAAACCAGTAAAATTCCTGAACTCCTGAAGGTCTCAGGGTACAGAAATACCTAAAGAAAAAGGTACCAGGTTGATTAGGTGTCAAAGTTATCTATTGAAGATTATTGATGAATTTTGTACCAGAGTTATCAATCAGATTGATAAGATTATCGACACCTCCTCCATTTCGCCTTCTTACCTGGGAAGAGTAGATTTGACTTCTTAATTGATTTGGAAAATATCAATAAATTTGGTCAATCTATTTAGTTGATATTGAAAAGCTTTTGACAAAATAAACAAGACAAGATTATCAATAAATTAAAGCAAGTATTAGATGAACAAACAGTTTTAATGATCAGTGATTTTTCGATAATAGAAGAACCAATGAGTCTAACCCATGAAATAATAGTAGAAAGATGTCACTACAGGGACATCATTATCATATTCTTTTCACAATCAGGATTGATCAAATTCGAAGAAATAACTATTTTGGTTGTAGAATGATCTCGTATCTGACGATTTGCTAATCTATACTAACGATGGTACAATACAATCATCAATACTGTTAGTTCACAACTTGAATTAACTTAACAATTAATCCTGGTAAAATTCAAATTGTCAAAGAAAAAGATGTCATCAAAAAGCTAAAATTCTTGGCTTCATCTACGAAATTCAAAATATTGTAAATTCATGATTGATAACAACAAAGCTGAATTTATTAAACAGATTGAGAATTGATAAGATTACAATTATAATTGTTTACCAACAGCTCTTTAGATCATCATGGAACTCTTATTTTTAAAACAAAAGGAATATGATAATTATCATTAAGTTAATTGAAACAAGTTATATAAAATTTTCAGAGCTGAACAAAGGGAAGAAAGTGACCTTTTGGATTATGTACATAATGGTATTGAGGTCTATTACTAATTATTTGAAACAATTATTTTAACAATGGAATCATGTTGATACAACAACAGAGTTCCAATAATAGAATAATTACTTTAATTGAAAGCGACTGTAAACAAATCAGTTATATTAGGAGAACTACAATAATCTTGAATATATCAACATAAAGATTCGGTCTGCGCTAAGATACAAACTATTGAGAGATTATCATAATCATTACGATAATGATTATTAATACAATATTATCAATTATCTACAAAACATTAAATCTAATCAAAGATAAAGATATTGAACTGAGGCTAATAAACAAGTAACAATTATAATTAGAAAATATATTAATGGATTAGCCTTCTTTAACAGAAATGTTTATCTTGGGATTGATAATAATTTGTGATGATTGAAAACAAAACAAACAATTAATCAAGTAATTACTAAGAAACAAATAGATGAAAATTAAAAATATATTGAAAACCTACTCTGTAAGCAATATGAGAGGCTCCTGATTACTTGAAACTAATGTTTCAAATGGTAAAAGTTTTCACAACAAACAATAACTACAGTTATCCAAATACATTAATTAACTTTCTCCATTTACTTAAACGTAAAACTATTAACAAAAGATGGTGTGAATGTGAGAGTTTAAACACAACCTTACATCAACTAAAGTGTAAATACATCAATATTGACTTTAATTTGAAATCAGTTATTGGAATAATCAATCAATTAAAGTTTAAGTAAATTACTTCACAATGAATTGGATACAGGGTAAGTATTTAAACAAATAGGTAATTTCTTCCTTATCAACAATGTCAAAGTACGTAAATACAACAAAAACTTTTCACAAAAAGTTGGTAAACTTACTATTCTAATTATCAAAATAAAATGAGAAGAAACATCAATCAGATATGTCCTTGGTCAACAATGGAAATTATCTCAAACAAATTAATTGGATATGACCTCATTATCATACAGTCAAATGGACAATTAGGAAGATCTTAAAATTTAATGGAAAACTGGAAATTAATAATTATCTCATACTACGAATTAATACCTTTTATACAGAATCTTTATATAGAACCGATAGATGGAGAATACATCGACTGAAGAATCATGACTGGATACACGAAATATCGGTACAACAAAAGGATCAACTGATCCTCTCCTGAAATAGAGTCGTCTGACAACGATGATTGCTGGATGACAGGACAATCACCTTCATCCAATTTCTAACTGTTTTCTACTTTTCTCTTCCACTCTGGACAGTCAAACTATAATCAATTTCCCAAAATACCTTATTAGATTTCTCTTCTCCATAAACTGTCTGTGTTTAATTTCATCTATTCTCTGTGTCTGATATCTCTTCTATTTATTCTCTTTTCCATTTTGTTCCTTCTCTTTTGCCATCACAATTATACCTCAAAAGGTGTAACCATAAGTACCATGGTGGTGATTCGTTGAAATATTCACCTTCGGGTCTCTGTGAGACTGAAGTTTCCGGTGGAAAACATAACCATCACCACCATAACTCAAAACTATTACGTTAAAGGTAATATGTACCTTGCTTCAAAGATCCAAATATCACCAAATGTTGTGTCCAACAATTTGTAATCTAAATCAACCCATTCAAATGGAAGATCTAAACGATTGTGTTAAGGTTATTTGTAACAACGAGTAAACCAAGGCCGTTATATGCATAAATGTTGCTTCGAATCTTGGGAAAAGTATTCTGACCTTTCTCCGTTCAACTGGTCGTGCTCGTAGTTGGTCAAACAAAGGTTACAAAATTATGGACCAAAAAGGGTTACGATTTAGCCTACAAAGCGTGTGGATGTAAATGGTAAGGTCATCTTCGCAAAGACTTGAATCTAGTTTCAGCACAGGTCAAAATTAAACCTTCTCTCATCATAAATTGCCTCAATGTCTCACATGTAATAACGGGTCAAATTCTAAAACTCATGTTCCAATCTCTACGGGTAATATTAATCTTCCTTCAAGCAGCTCAATTAACTCTAATCCAATTGGATCAATTAGTTCATCACCTTCATCATCAAGCAATGTTTCAGTTTTACCAATTAGTCGATTCAGGACATCGTCAATGTCTTCAAGCGGTTCAATAGGTTCAGGTGGTACATCACCGCCAGGTAGTGGATCAGAATCACTTTCACCAGGTTTTCTTGATCAATCTGCTTTCATGAAGAAATTTTTTGGTGCTGCCGATCACAATCAACAATCATCAATATCTACATCATCATCATCATCATCATCAACAACAATAACAACAACAGCAACAGCAAATACATCAATCTCTCAGCATCCCAATTATCATAATCATCATCACCATCATCATTTTCACCATGAAAATATTGGACGACGAGAGAGACGAGGATCAGGATCAATTTTCACTCGTCGTCAAGACTATTCATCATTTAACAATCTTCCAAGGCATAAAATCAATTCTTATCACATTAAAATGGAGGAAGATCATGGTAACGATGATACAAGAAATTTCATCCTATCAACTCTCAGTGCTAATCGTATGAACAGGTAAGCCAACAATCAACTTTATCTAAATTAACCCTAACAAAATTGTCACAAGAGATTTTGTTTCTTTTAATTTTTCTTGCAATTGTTGATAAAATCAGAAAAGAAAAAAAATCAAAGAACTTGCAAATTACATCAACAGTTTATTTACAAGAGGTTATTGTATCTTCCTCATCATCCATCCATCATCATCCCGCTTAACTAATGTTCATCATCAGTTTAAACTGTTAACAATTTAAACATTTCTCTTTGAACCCTTTCCTTTATCAACAATTAGTTAATTTTTCTGTTAACACTCTTATCTTCATATCGATTGACTCAAATGTAAAATCATCTTAATCTTATCTGGTTTTCTTTTCTTTTTCTTTTCTCCATCATTTAAAACCGTTTCTCTCTCTCTCTCTCTCTCTCTTAAATCATCTCTTACAATCTCAACAGAATATCGTGCATCATGTGTCACACTTCCATGATGATTTTCGATAAATATCCATTGATTGATGGAACCTTTTTCTTATCACCAACCCAGCATAGTAAAGGTGCTGTACCAACAACCGTTGAAAATGGTTCTAAACAATATTTAAATGCCGTTTGTATGGGCTGTTTAGAAGGTTGGAATTCAATTGTAAAATGTCGTAGTTGTTCAAGCCGATGGACCGGATCTCACCTAATTCTTGGCTCAATGTATTCTTATGATATTTTCGCTGCGGTTCCTTGTTGCACTGATCGTCTTCGTTGTAACAATTGTAAAAACCTTGTTATCTCACCTGATCATCGATTACAATTTTTCAGTCATTATTCAAATTCAATTGCTTGTGGACATTGTGGAATCGTTGATTTTCATTTTGCAAAACCTTTACAGGTCAACTTTATCCGAACTGGACGAGAATGATGAAAAATTGATGGCTTAAATGATGATGTTTATGTCGATAACCAACCAACACTACCAATCACATAAATGCACCATTATTTATACACTTAAACACTCACACACAAACACTTATCTATTAGGTTCATAAGACCAGCAAAAAATTATCGTCACATGCATTTACATATATGATTTTGTGTTTCATTCACAAATATATGTCATTATCCTTACTATTATTTACTATTCAGAAAGCTCAAAACAATAAGGAAAACTTTTTGTTTTTCCTGTTTACTTTTTGCCTGAAACTTTTTGCAAAGAAACTGAAAAGCCCTTTAGGAAGAGCTCATTTGTTTATGTATTGTGATTATGATAACCATTCACATCTATTATCCAGTAAGCGCTTTGAAACACCGAACCAGGGAAAGAGAGAAATGAACAATCAACAAAGGTACTAAATTACTCGAACGGTAAACCAAGTGAAAGAACAACTTTTGAGCTCTTCTTATGCAACTTTTCCTCTCCTTCATTTCTGTCACAATTTTTTGGATACCCACGAATACCACCATCACCTTTACCTTTATTGGAATATCTTGAAATTTTGTTGAATAGCGAACTTTTTTTTTTCCTTCTTCTCTTTTCGTTCATTCATCTTTCAATTCTGATTTTTCATGAGTATCATCATCGCTATTTCTCATTATGCATTCTGACACAAATCATTTTTTTTTCTATCAATATCAATTATCAACATAACTGATAATTTACCCATGGTAAAAGTTGTGTTTGTTAATTGTATCACCAAAACAACAAAAGAAAATCAACAAAAAAAAACACGTACTAAATTAACGACGATTAACAATTGAAATCATATTACGGGATTAATTTAAAGAGCTGAAACTTAAATGATGATGAATTTTGGATGGTTCAACGAAAATGGATTCTCTCTATTATCAATGGAAAAACTAAATCAAGTCTTCATCTCCATCCTCATCTTTTGTTTTTCTGTTGATGATTAACTATGGAAAGAGAAATGAAAAACAATTGTTAATTGTTCATCTTGATCATCATCATCATCATCATTGGAAACATTTACAGGTAATACACTCAATCACCAAGGAGAGAAAGAGTTACCTTCTTTCATCGAAGCCTTTTTTTTTCTTCCACCAATCAATCAATATTTGTTTTGATACAACAATCACTTAATTGTAATGCCCTTTAATCACAATCAACTTTAATTACTGATTAATGACCACGAAACTCATCCAAACACATATACTGGCCACTGGAAAGAAAACAATATGACGGGTTAACCAAAGTTTTTTTTTTCTATTTGCTGAGAAAGTTAATTTCTTTTTGTTTTCTCTTAATTCTGAGAAAATAATTAAG